TCTTTTTTTCTTTTTGTAGGATTGAGATTTAATAATCTTTTAACAATGTTGGTTCAAACGAAAATGCACATTATATCTCCGCACGAGATAATAACGAATTTAAAAGAAATGTTCAGTCACTTTATTAAACTGATTCCAATATTTTAATTAGTGTTTTTGTCACTTTTTAAATATTTTTATCACCTTTTAAGTGTCACTTTTTTTTTAATTTTTGCCACTTTTTTTTTCTGTCACTTTGTTTGAGTGACAAATATCACTTTTTAATCAAAGTGACATTGTATGTTAATAAAAAGTGAGGCTCAACTTTTAAAAGACATTGTGTCACTTTTTAATTTAAAAAAAAAAACATTTAATTTTACATAGTATTTTTTACTTTCAAAATACTTTTCATATGATTTTTCAAATAACTCCTAACTTTAAGGGTATTTTTGTAAGTTGCTCGTTAGTTTATGGGTTATGTACATTTATTCGGACCAGGCTTTTGAGGTAGACTTAGTGTTGGTTGGACCAATTTAGCGTGAATCAATTGGGCCATACCATTTAGTGGAATTGGACCTTATTGGGACCATTTAAGAAAAACAGCCCAGTAGATGGTCTATTAGATGGTCTTCTCTCTTTTCAATTTTCCTGTGTTCACAATGACATGAAATTACAAAGAAGTTTGAATAACGTCAAGAAAAGAGAGTGGTGCCTAGTTAATGAGAGCGTTTGTAGTCTTGGTAAAGGAACAATACGATCCTGTATTCATCCATTTGCATGATTCAAAAAGAAAAAATGAGTATGTGCTACCATACGACGCCTAAACTCGTCTCTCACAAATGTCGCCCACAGGAAGTGGAAAACTCCAACTATGATTGGACCTCCTAGTACAAGCCTCTCATCTCTAAAACTCGCTTGCTTAGTATAGAGTTTCTAGTGATTCCTCGAGGCTAGCCATAGAGAGGAATGTTAGCAACTAGGACGATATTGATCATTTATCACTCACTCGTTGATCCGTTCTAATTAAATTGAGCATTTTTTTTTTCTTAAAATCGGGTTATAACTGTTAAACATAGATAGAAAGGGACGTAGTAGATTTTTTACAATCAAAGTTGAATAATAATTTCCATATTCAATACAACTCAAAATCTCAATACAAGAAATTAAATAAAAATTTAAAACAAAAATTTTTTAAAAAAAAAAAGCTAAAAGAGAGATAACATTGGCCACGTGTAGTGTTCCCATTGGTTAGACTGGGGGTGCATATGAGCCGATCAGTTGGTTCCCACGGCCATACAGCATATGCCATTATGC